CTGAAACAAATTTTTCTGATCATATTCTAAAATAATATTTTCTTATACAAAATTTTTTCATTTACACTCTGTTATTTATTACTGATGGACTCTTTGTTAGTATTCACATGCTTTCATTATTCTCAGTGCATGTCTAATGACTACTTATATAGTACAATAAAATTTAAATTTTAGTAGTATCAAAATATAGTGATATATTTACAATGTAATAATTATTATCTTAAGTATAACAACTAATATGCAGCAATGTCATAATAGATCTTCATTGCTTGATAAGCAACAAACTTCTGTGCTAGGAATTCATGTGACTTAATTAAGTAAACTTATGTCCAAAGAAGCATCTATTTGATCTCATATCAACTATACAAGTGATTAATTGGATCAATCACATTGCTTCTAACAAACAGAACTTATACCAATCTAAACTTATTATAAATGTCTTACGTCGATGATCTTGCGATTTAGATTATTTTAAGAATTTGAAATTTTAGTTTCTTACTTCTTTTGCAGAGTATAACCTTATGTTAAAAAGATATATAATTGTTGAATTTCATTTAAAGGTTTAATTCATATACTGCCAATAATTTAATTTGAACTTTTGAAATCTAATAGTTAGGTTCAAAAGATTGTTAGATCATTGGTAGTTAAATTAATGAGATGCAAATGATATTAAAGTATATTTCAAGTTGTTAATTCTAAGTTGTAGTCATATTGGACTCTGTGAATATTTGAATTATAATTTATTATTATAATGTATAAACTTGATAAAAATATCAAGAATTTGAATAATGGAGATTAGGATACCACAATCCCACATCAAAGTAGTACATGATTGTTGATCTCTATATAAGATTAATTATATATTTTATTTTTTGAGAAAATCTCACCACATCTTTATTCAATGTGTTTAAAGTTATATTATTAACACAAAATGTAGTTAACAACCATTGACTATGCTTCCATAAACATTATGTCATATTTATCAAAGTTTGGCATGGCGTATAAACTATCTGTCTAAATAAAAGAAAAAGTTCTTTAGGTTGTGTTTCCCACTATATCCAATATGATAACATGATTTGCTTCACTTTTGGTTAACCTCATTGAATGGAGTTTTGTAATGTTGCTAACCATAATACCGTACTAAAATAGTTATAATA